TTTGTTTTACTGTGAGCAATGAATTATCTTTCTACAATCTTAGATTTGTACCCAATTTAAACTCATAGTCTGCAGTTACAGCATCGAGTTGTTACTATACAAAATTAAGTGCAAACTATTGTTCATGCTTATGCTACGCTAGCCTATAGATGCAAATCCATGTTCGCATCGGCAGAGAGTTAATGTCAGTAGCCAGTGACGGAGGTGCCGTTAAGGTGCATTCAGGCGCAATTCAGTAAAAGTGTGTATTGGGCAAAGATGCATTTATAACGTCAGCAAGATGTGTTCAATGTAGTCCAGTAAAATGCAGTCTTTAGCGAGAAATATCAATAAGTACAGTTGTATTAAGGAGATGTTTTACTCAGAGTTCCCGTTAGCCGGTAATTACCGGACTATGACCGGTAAAATATGCTGAAGACCGGCAAATCTAAATCTCTCCGGTCAAAATGTCCGGTCAAAATTATTTCCCCTTAGCGCAATACCGCATCAGTTGCGCCACTTATGTGACAGACAAGAAGAGTATGTGACAGACAAGAAGAGTATGTGACAGACAAGAATAGTCAATTATAATGTCTACACTTAATGTGGAGAAAGAGATGTCCTGTATGGGTTGATTGTGCGTTGATCTGTTGGTAATGCCTCCGGTGGGCATGTAAACAAATGCATAATGCTGCGCTATACTTTGTGGCCTCACCCGGTTGCATAGCGACGCTTATTGTTTAGGTGTCTTTTAATAAGCAGGTAGTCATATCATTAGCTAGAACTAGCTAGATCTGATCGATATGGACACAAACGCGAGTAAAGTCTAATCTGACGGGAGAGAGAGATCGGCTGCTGCTGACGAGTCGACACGCAGCTCTGCATGATCCCCTGCAGCGGTGAGCGGAGCAAAACACACTTCAGGTTAGAACATCACACGTAGCTATTTTAATTACCTCTCAAACTACCTAAACTAGTTATAGATAGGTTTAGTTTTACTGTCGGGTTACTCATTACTGGATCCGCGAGCTGCATGATATTGGCGTGTTGTCAGGAGAGGGAGAGAGCGCTCCGTTTATTATTCCCGTGTTATTGTAAATTACTGTACACTTTTGAATAGTTAATTAATCTACTATAATTAGTTTGTTTAATATCGAATCATATCAATTTGTTTCAAAGCTCAATAAATAACATAGAAGACCTTTGACCGGCACTTTTCAAATTTTGTCCGGAAGATTTAAACTGTAACGGACATGTTGACCGGCAAATAATTATTCTAACGGGAACTCTGGTTTTACTACAACATAAAGTAGATATTAGACAGTATGCAAACGAGATAAAGGAGTGTATATTTAAGTAATTAGGATCCGCTGTGTAGAGAATCATGGAATTGTACTGCTATCTAACAATACCATCCTTAATAAATGCCATCCTTATAAATGTATATAAATACAATACCGTTTTAAATGATACTTGTGTTTTGATTATGTTTGATTCCATTAATTGAATTAAAGATATTTTAATGAATTCTACTGAAATGATTGTTACATTGTCATCATGTAACTATTTTGTTCTTTTATTTGCCTCCCCAGAAAACAGTCACACATCCTGCTATCGACTTCAGGTTCGCATTAGGTAAGCCCTCAAGTGTGTCAGACTAAAGTTGTTGTTTCAGAGGTTAATTCAAGACGTGTTATGTTTACATATAATGAACAACAGGTAAACGTACACATTTCTATTTTTTGAATCACAGATGGGATGGCCATGTAAAGTTTGCAGTACTAGTGTCACCACTCGAAGTGATATTGTAAAACATTATCGACTCCATCATGGAACCTTTGGACCCTATCATGCCTTGCCCTGCGTTTATGTAGACTGCCCATGCTCTTTTAAAAGCTGGAATGCCCTGCACTCTCACTTGTCTAGAAACCACGTGGAAGTTGAATCGCTACCACAAGAAGTCATTATTTCCTTCACCTGCCAATTATGTCAAGGATCTGTATTTTCTTCTGAAAAAACATATTTTGAACATATAGGCCATCATTTGAAACACAATGAGACTATAGACTGTGTCTTCGCAGGTTGCAACCATCAAACAAATGTTTATGGGACTTTTCAAACCCACAAACATAGGAAGCACACTCCCCATACATTGCACGACTTCAAACCAGGAATTCTGTCCCAAGAGCATTGTAGGGAAGAATTGAATGCTGAAGACGAGAATGATGTCAGTGACGATAATAATGCATTAACGAACTCGGATGTGCCGTTTGAAGAAGAATCTAATGTGCTTATTGAGCATATAGCTGCCCTATTGTTAAAATTGGAAAGTGTCCATAATGTCTCTCTAAAGTGCATTGATGAATTGGTAGAGGAGCTTCACTTCATCTCAAATTCTGCATCAAAAGCTGCGTTAAAAGAAATAATTGTTTCGCATTTTCAGAGGAATAACCACAGTGTTAATGACGGATTTGTTAATTCTCTAGTGGAGGAACTGTGCACATCCAATCCACTAAGTACAGCATTAAGTGCTGGTGGTCCTCTTTCCTCATCATTTAGAAGAAGACAGCATTTCAAAGAAACATTTCATGTTGTTGAACCAGTTGAATACATCCTGGAACCAAATGAAAAGAGAAGTTTCCAGTATGTACCTATTCTTCAATCTCTAAATCAGATTTTGAAAAGTGACCACCTGAGAGAAAAAGCTCTGAGTACAGAACAGAACCATTCATCCTCTACAACATACGGTTCATATCAGGACGGTACATTGTATAAAGAGAATTTGTTTTTTTCTGAAGAACCAAGAATTAAACTTGTACTGTACGTGGACGATTTTGAGATTTGCAATCCACTTGGAACATCGAGAAAAAAGCATAAAATGACTGCTGTATACTGGGTCTTGCACAACTTCTCCCCTTCTCGTTCTACTCTCAACTCGGTATACCTAGCACTTTTATGCAAAGCAGTCGATGTCAAAAGATTTGGCTATGCTACTGTGCTTGAGCCTCTACTAAAAGACATTGCTATCTTGGAAAATGAAGGCATCTTTATTTCCAGTATTGGGAAAAAAGTGAAAGGCACTGTTTTGAGTGTAGTTGCTGATAATCTTGGGGCACACTCTATCAGCGGACTTGTGGAAAACTTTTCTGGCCCATATGTATGCCGGTTTTGTCTTGGCGAGAGATCCGAATATCAAACCAAGGAGGTGAGGTCAGGTGCTTTCCAGCTCGCACCAAAGAGGAGCATGCCACTCATATAGTCAATGTTGAAGGAAACCCTGATTTAACACACTGCTACGGAGTTAAAAAGGCTTGCCCATTGACTGAAAAACTGAGCCACTTCCACTGTATAACTGGCTACCCGCCTGATGTGTTGCATGACATTTTTGAGGGCATTGTTCCCTTGGAATTAGCTCTGTGCTCAGTGAACTTAACAGTGCTATTGCACAGTTTCCATTTAAATGGGCTGACAAAACTGATTGTCCACAGTTACTTCCTGCAACGTTCTCAAAACGCAAATCAATAGGGGGGAATGCCCATGAAAACTGGACTCTTATAAGACTACTGCCTTTCATTATTGGCCACAGAATACCACTGAATGATCCAGCATGGCTTCTGCTCATGTCTCTAAAAGATATAGTTGAACTTATTGTTGCCCCAATCCATGATGATGAAAGCATTGCTTACCTTGACTCAACAATTTGTGAACACCGACACAGGTTCTCTGAAGTATTTCCTGAGCGAAGATTAATCCCGAAGCACCACTTCTTGGAACACTATCCTGCTTTAATAAAAGCCTTTGGACCAGTGGTAGCTTTCTGGACACTGAGATTTGAGGCCAAGCACAGCTACTTCAAACGAATTGTGAGGCATACTGGCAACTTCAAGAACATAACTCTATCCTTGGCTACAAAGCATCAGCTCATGATTTCCCACCACCTGCATTCCACAACAAGAGTGGCTGCCTTGAGTGTTGTAAAAGTTACATCGATGCCCTTAGATGTTCTGCATGCAAATGTTCAGGAGTCTATCAGGCGTCTATCTCCTTTTCAATCTCATGTTCAACTGGCCAACACAGTCACCTTCCAGGGAACAAGGTACTCAAAAGGCATGATTGTGGCTCATGGTTGTACTGCTGGTCTTCCTGATTTTGCAGAGATTGTGCAGATTGCTTTACTTGGAGAAAGTGTATCTTTCATTGTAAAAACACAGATGTCCTGGTATGATGAACACTATCGGGGATTTCATCTAGAGAACACAGATCACGTAGCTCTTATCAAACAACAAAACCTTGTTGATATTTGTCCTTTATCTGCCTACACTGTGGCTGGAAAGCGCATGGTGACATTGAAGCGTTACATCTGCCTCAAATGCTAAATTTCCATTCTTGTGTTCCAGACATGGAAGAAACAAACGTGCGATTACGCATCCACATTGACCATGAAGTTAGGAAAATGACCCTCGATGATGGCATACCTTCAACCTTGGAGGAGTTGATTTGTGCTGTTAAGGATGCCTATTCCATAACCACGGATATAAGTCTTCAGTACAAAGATAAGGACTTTGATGACTTCTTCACACTAACCTCAACGGAGGGTTTAAAGGATAAAGACACACTTAAAGTTGTGCACTTAAGTGTACCAGACAGCATTATGCTGACTCTTGTCCCTCAAGAGGGTACCCCTGATACCTCTAATCTGTCATCTGTCTGTGATAGCCATGCTGTGAGTTCAGAAGACACTGGTATTCTGAGTCCTTCACCCTCAGAAAGGCGACTTCCATGGCCTACTGTATTTTCAATACCGACTTTCTCACAAAACACTGAGCTGGCCCTGAGACAAGGCAATGAAATGCATTCCCGAGAAGGTACACCATTGACGTCCCCAAAGTTGAAACATGACATTTTGGAGCACTTGGCAGAGGCAATCTTCACCTACACTGCGTATCCCAATGACGCACAGAGGTCTGCTGTAGCCCAAGCCTTGATCGCAAAACATCCATGCTTAAAGGAGCCTGGTTCCTATAACGGTTGTTACGGATGGCAGCAAAGTCTAAAGTACAAAGTAGGAAACTACCGGACAAAACGGAAAGCCTTGGGAAGTCCTGAACTCCTGGTAAATTCCATAAACCAAAAGAACCAGTGTGACAGACAATCTGCCAAAAATGTCAAAAAACCAAGGAAAGCAGAAGTAAATGATCTCCCCCCACACCCAGTTGGAGAGACGGAAGACTCTCTTGAAGCTGCAAGACTTGCCCTCATTGAAGCAAGCAAGAGAAAAGATAACGCGAAGAGCATTAACGATATGATGTCCAAAACCTACAGCTGGAGGAGACAGGAACTGGTAGCCAAGTCCCCGCAGGTGGAAGACTTCAAAGAAAGATGGCCTGCACTCTTCCAACCTTTCCAGGTGAGACTCAAGAAGTGGTCCTTACAGTATTTGTTACAACACATAATGATAATCATGTTAACATTGTCAAGTTTCCCTCAATTGTTAAACAATGACCTATAGGAATTTCTTTGGAATAAATTTGGGTTTTTTGCATTTAATTTGCCTACATTTTCAGCTTTAGATTTTGGCAACATATTGTAACCGACAAGTTGACCCCATTCATTTCTACTAAACTGGCTTGTGTATTTTATAACATATTCATTATGTCTCTAATAATCTCCCAATTTAAAATGTGTTGCAGATAAATGAGGAGTTCCAAAGATGCACCGCGGTTCCACTTGAGTCAACATTTATGTTCCAGCTGGACAGGTACACGCCAAAGCTTCTGGAGCTGTTCAATGCAAAGGGAGGAGCAGTTGGTCAGCGCATTAAAGCATTGTTGAAGGCACTGATTCAGGTGAGTTAACAGTGGTACATACTAAGTGTTTTGTTTCTTCTTCAGTCATCTTGCCTGAAATCAGTTGATCTTTTCAAATACATTTTTTTGTAAAAGGACCAGTGTGTCAGATTCACTGGTAGCCAGAACTGAGGTTGCACTCAATAACCCACTAAACAACTAGATTTAAAATGTTCATCACATTTGGTGTAATTTCCTTTTATGAATATATATTGATGATACACTTTTTTATTAAAATGAGTCATGCTCTTCTGAATGTAAATCAGCATTTAATTTCTTACAAAACTTTTAACCACATAACAAAACATTAGTTGTTCAGATGTGCTCCCCGACACACTTTACACTTATTCTGATTAACTACAGTCAGTAGGGGCTTGGATTGGGAGCCGTAGGGTCGCCGGTTCAAGTCCCCGACCAGACCTAAATATGGAGTGTGACTGCTACTTGGAGAGGTCCCAGTTCACCTCCTGGCCCCTGCCGTGGTGCCCTTGAGGCACCGGACATCCCCCCCCACTCCCATTGCTCCCTGGGCGCTGTACAATAGCTGCCCACTGCTCCTAGTACTAGACTCCTGGTACTAGGATGGGTTAAAGGCAGAGGCCAAATCTCACTGTGTGCTGTGTGCTCTGCATGTGTGACCATTAAAGAGGGTTTCATCCCTCCCATTCTAATCTACATTTACATGCTTACATGATACCAGAATAATATGAATACATTATATTGAGATAATACACCAGTTGTATGTATATACAAATATTTCTCTATTAGATGGTTATTTTTAAGTGTTGCAGCCACAGATTAGGCGGTCACCAGTTGTCTTTCTTCCCTCGTCACAACTTTTTTGTTCTAAGAGTAAAACTTTGAACATACACATATTCTCTTGTCTACACTGCTCTGCTGCGGGTACACTTAATTCAACTTACTAGCCTAACTCCGTACTTATTTACAACCACAGAAGAAGACTTCTTCTTCTTATGCTTCTTCTCTCTCTTGACGCAACCTTGTGGCGAAGACTAACAACAGCATTTCCAAATAAAATACTGCTTAGCAAGAACACAATATCATACCATGTAGATGTGTGATATTAGAAATAATAAAGAACAACATTAGATGCAAATAAAAAATGTATTGTGGGGTTGCTTCTTACATGTTGTACACAGTGGAAATAAACATTCTGGTCAATTTAACATCAGGGATCTTCTTAATTAACATCTATCTGAATTAAGCTGTCACATAAACACAAGATAATTGAAAATAAATCGTTAAATATTGGTTGAAATAATCGTCTGTTCTTATTTATTCTAGGACCCATGTGCTACTGTCTGTAAAAAGAGAGAGGTGACCTTGAGATGCCTCATTGAATATATGGGAGAACGTGGAGAGGAGCTAATCTCTGAGCATGAGGTGAGGTTAAAAATAGGTAGTTTGACATTTTATGAACTATATCAATATCATGACTATGTGGTAAATTCTTGCAAAACAAGTCTTTTTTGTAATGTCTTAAACCCCTTGTAATGCACGTGAATTGCACCTCTGTTACCAGCTAATGTAAACTGGCTGTACTCGTTGTGACTTCAAGACGGATTTTTTTGTTGTTGAGGAAAACGCATGGTGTTTCCTGATTTGTACTCAATTTAGTGTTTCGTTTGTATATACAGGGAGAACCAGAGGTTGAAGTGCAACAGAGGCTCGTGATGCACAGCATGAAACTATACGTTGCCCACGAGCCAGATGCAGTTGGGATCATCATCGAGGGCATGCCAGTGTTGGCTGATATGGGCAATGTTGCCAGAGCCTGCTGCCTCCTTCTTGGACTGACCTATGCTCTAAATCTGCAATATCCTGCAAAACTTGCCAAAACCTTTGAAGTCTTTCAGAGACTCTTCGTGGGACTGGACACCCTTCAGCCGAAGCCATCTTCAAGGTACATCAGCCTAAAAAACAAACTACTGGCCTAGAGCTGTTGGCTGGCAAAAGCTGTTGGTCATTTGTGATCAACGCTGTATTCACAATGTTTCTGAGCTGTGAGTGCGATCTTGTAAATGTATGTGTGGTTTTATGGACTGATTTAAGAGCGATCCTGCATTCTGTAAAGTTACTTTAAGAAAGTCACCCCTACTTCTCTTCAATCTGACATCAGATTCTTGGCATACTCAAACATTTTATCAAAGTAACAGTTTTTAGAGTATGCACTTTTACATGTTCCAACATCAACCAGAGAGGAAGGAGTTCAGCTAGGACATGCACATTTTTTTTTTTTTAAACCAGGATGTTATTAATCGTGTCCTTTTTTTTTATGAGCCTTTAAAAATAGAAAAACTGTTTAAAAGCTCAGATAATACTTTTATAACTTGTAAGCAGCACTTTAAAATAAAGTCACCTTACCCAGGTTGCCCATCACCTTACGTTTGCCTAAGTGTGAATAGAAATACAAATGTTCTTAAGATTACCTTTGTCATGTTGTGTTTTTATTGAAGAAATCAGAAAAATTACAAATTCCTTTGTTCTGTTTTAAAACCAAAATGGGTTAGGGAAAAAAACATTAGTTAAGACATGACAAACATTGTTCTTAAAAGCCAGGATTTTGTCAACTGTCTGTTTTTATAGGAGCCTTAACAAACAGAAAATACTGTTTAAGTATAAGTTCTAACTTTTTGTAGGTCATTAGCAGCACTTAATGCTGCATGCACCTTAAGAGTAACTTTAAGTTGTTAACACAAATGTTAAGACTTTCTCCAGTGTCAGTGTTACATGTATGTTAATGTTATGTGTTGTGCTTCTAAACATGTTACTGTTTTATGAAAACCGTTTGAAAGCACTTTCTGCTGCTAATGTTAATAAAATGTATTAAAGCTCCCATGTCATGCTTTTCCGGTTATTACCCGTCCCCTTGTGTGTTATGAAGGTTTTTATGCATGTAAACGGTGTGCAGAGTCAAAACCCTCAAAGTACACCCTGTAGCGAGTAAAACTCTAACACAGAAAATACCTCCCCAAAACGCCTCGTTGGAGATACGTCACTGCCCATTTGAGTCTTCCATTTAGTTCCGGGTACCGCATGATGTCATGCGGTACCCGGAACGAAATGGACCAATCCCGAAGAGCTATGGCCACACCAGCAGCGGCGTGTTCCTCCTCCAGAGGTTCGAAGAACCGGCATTTCACAGACGAAAGCTTCCAAAACATTGCCCAGTTTGAGGCCGGATATGCACAGCTTGTTTGGACCGTTTGGAGCAGGGGAAGATCTGGGTATACAACCTGTAAGTTTGCATTGTTATTTGTGTATTTATCAAACAAGACTGTTTAAATGTGTAAACTGTGTTGGACTGCTAAGCCATTGACACAGTGCTAACTGTGCTAACTAAGTTGCTAGAGTTTCCATATATCAACTCTAATATCAGCAGATGGCCTTGCATACATGTATCTCATAGCAGGAGAATGTCTGCATTCACACACAAAATACCTATTGACAGTATACTCCGGGTGATTTGCCGGTCAGTCGCGAAACGTAATTACATTATAGCTGGCGTAGCGATCTAACACACGGAGCTAGAGCTAGTTTTGGTCAGAAAAACATTTTTGTGATGCTACGTTGCTAGCGTTTAAATATATCAACTACAATGTCAGCAGATGGCCTTACATGTTTGTCATGGCAGGAGAATGTCTGCAGTCACACACACGGAATACTCATACAGTATACTGTACTGTGATTTACCGTACATTGTGACCGTACATATACTGCATGTAGCTAACGAGGCTAGCTGTATGCTAGCGCAAAACAATGTATTCATGCAAGTTACATTGTATGGTAGCAGAATACCCGTATACGATTGCAATTATAAACACGTTATTGCTAGCCTAATATGAACCACTAGCTTTTGTTCATAGTAGTTTTATTACTCTGCATTATAGTTGCCTTTCCTCCAAGCTAACGTTCATATCGTGTTAGCTACCAAGGTAAACAAAGCTAGGTTAGCATATTAGCAGGCAAGCTGTTCATTACACAACTACTACTAACGAATCTAAAACAACTAAGTTTCTCTAATATTTTGTGATTTGCATTTGATTTCGTCCAGCCAGATCCTGGCGGACAATCCATGACGGGGAAGGGATTCTACTACTACTGAGGGTGCTAAAAGGCACCGCACCGACTGTGCGCAGGCAAGATGCGAGGAGGAGGAATGGATGATATACCGTGTATATATGTATATTTATGTTCATTTTGTACATTTCTAAAAATAAAGTTTAATGGAAATACTTAGTAGGCCTATCCTTTCTTCCCTGAATTCATATATAGCAAACCATGATTTGATTTCTCATCAAACAGTAGTAGTTTATAACGGGTAAAAATAACTTACTCTTTGTTATGAGAGTAGCTCGTAGGCCACAACGGAAAGACAAGGAGACATACACGAGTTTACAAAACCACGGCACATTTATTGTGGTAAATGCAAAGATAGGTGGTTGAGAGGATCGCAGAGTTAGTCTTCCTGCAGCCGCTTTGGAGAGAGACTGTGTCCGGAGGTGTCCGTGATTGTGCTGATTAGCCTCTTCAGCTCCACCCCACCGTAAGACAAAGGCCCTGGGGCCGTCACACTCTTCTATAACAACAGTTAAAAATATATATGTATATAAAATATACCGCTGTACCGACGCCATGATAAGACTGATGTTACGCTGAGAGCAGCCGGGAAAAGCACTGACATGGGCGCAGCCTCTCTGGTGGTTGACTAATCAGAACGAGTGGCCGAGCTGACCAATTGGAGCACACTAGGCTCACAGGGAGGGGGGGGCAAGAGCTCCAACGAGTCGTTTAGTGGAGAAAGTGAATACTGCTGAATACACATGCTTGACAGAGATGCTGTATGCGAAACCAATGTGAGTTTGGAAAATTGCACAGTATAAATCTATTTTAGTATACCTCAACAATGTAATTATGATCAGTGGAAATGGCCATGACATGGGCCCTTTAACATGTCCATAACGTTCTCTTTTTAAATCTATTTGTTTAATCTGCAATGTTGCAATGCTATCAAATATTCAAAGGGTTGGATTGAAATCAGGAAGAGTTTGTCATATAGGTTCTGGCAACTCAATTGTGTTTTATAATTTACTTTATTTATTCTTGTCTTATGTGGTTCTTAGCAGATTGTTATTTGCATTGGTTACACTTAATATGTTGGCTTTTAATTGTAGGCTCATCTCATCTTTTCACATGCAGAAAAAATGACATTACTGAGTTTACCCAACTCCTATAATTGCTTGGAATCACTTGACACATATTTTTTAAGTTTTAGCAAAGTAACACATTCTTGAGTAGAGGAAAACTAAAAAAAGTACGTTTCACCAACTCAAGAAATGCAAAAGTTGACTAAACTCTTAAAATTGCTTGGAATCGCTTGACACATATTTTTTAAGTTTTACCAAAGCAACAGTTTTTACAGTGAGGGGTCATTCCAAAAGGAAGCCCACTTCAACTGGCTTGACAGTAAGTTTATAAAGTGTCTTTACTTCTGCCTTCTCCTATCCTAGTATTATGAAGTTGATTGACTAAGAGTAAGGTCAGCTAAATTAAGGAAGGTTTTGTTGTTTTTCTGTCTGAATTGTAATTTTCTTATGACATTCTACTTCAGGTGTCGTCAACTGGAATATCTTCACAGAGGGACACAAACAGGAATTTCGGAAGGCCTACCAAATTTCCAGGTGCTTTCAGTGCGACAACCTGTATAAGGACGTTGGCACAGGCTACCGGGGAAGTGGACGGCGAGGAACATTACAGGGTTTTTACTCAGAAGAGGGCTTCCCGGGGTACTGCAGCTGGAGCTGTTGTCTGGTGGTTGAGGGAACAGCAGACCCCGCCTCACCCCAGTGAACAATCCACAGTGCCCAATAAATACAAATGTATTCTGCACTGAAATTCCTCTCGTCAAATTGCATGTTTATCTTTTGCAGCCTGGTGCATAAACACACTAACAGTTGTTTTTGAGTAATCTAGCACCTCTTCAAAGACACATTTGATTTGATTTATTTCGAACGTGTAATACAATAAAAAATATATATATAATAATGAAATGAAACAAGAGAATTATGATACTGTAGAAACATAAGCAGTATCAAATTGATTCAAAGGAGTTTACACTTATTTAACCCCACCCCTTCTCCCAAAAACTAAATTAACAGTTTTGTTTTCTTTTAACAAAATATACATCTAAATGTATGTCTACATACAATATACATTTACAATTATAAATAGATGATATCATTATTACTACAATATATATATATATATATATATATTTATGTTGTATGTCAAATTTGATAAAGACAAATATAAAAGACTATCTTTTTACATCTGACATACAAAATACATTTGTTATTAAAAATCAAAAACATATTAACAACAACTTGTTGTTAATAATAATAATTTAATTTCAGTAAGAAAAACATATTTTCATGCATTTTTAGATGGTTAATAACAAGCATTACAATGTCTAGAGACTCGCAGTGTATGAGACTCAATACTCGCTGGTTGTACTTTTGCGGTCATCCAATCCGCTAGGCAGTGGCGAGCCGTCAGGGCCCTCTAGGCCCTCTGTGAGGGCCTAAGATATTCCAAAAAATAATATTTAAAAACATTAAAAAAATATATATTTTTTTTAAATATATATTTTTTTAATATTATTTTTGTTATATTTTTCATTAGTTTTACCGAAAAAAAACTTGATTTAATAAAATAACATTTCCAAAGAAATAAATCCTTCGAATCTGCCTGTTCAGTCTCTGTTTGAATGTCAGTTACTATAGCGGGCCTCTCTGCGATTCACAGAGGGCCCGCTATAGTAACTGAACGAGAGAGTAATGTCAAATGACAGTACAATTGACCAATCATATCTTCCCTCTAAATGGGTGGGTTTTATTATCGCGGACTTTATGACGAGTTCCGCCCGCTGTGAAACTTTTCTTGTTTCCATAGCAACAACAACTTTCTGTCAACAGCGTGAACTCGCCTTCAAAATAAAAGCATGCCAAATTACACTTAAGATATACAACTGCAATGAAAGTAACAAACACAATGCAATATCATTTTCAATGTCAAAGAACACAAATTGGGTTCACAGGTGTTGTTTTGTGTGGTAGAGGGTCGCTGTCATTGATGCGTTTTGCACCCTGGGCCTCTGTTTTGATATTCCGCTGAAGTATACGCTGTGACGTAATAACGTCTTTTTTTCGAGGGAAGGGGTGGGGGTCAGAGGGCCTAGGTATAAAGCTCACGGCTCGCCACTGCCGCTAGGTGGCGATGTTGCAAAACAACTAGGGTCCTGAGAGTGCGGTCCTGAGAGTGCGGCCTCCGACGCTGCAGCTTCATACTATTGTTTTTTTTGGCCGCACTACTCTGGTGAGTTACGTCTTGCCTTTGCACAGTATTTAAATGATGTTTTATTAATTTCTGCATCTAATGCATTTTGTGTCGCATGGTGTGTTAGTTTGATTTGAGCTCTTGTTAGCTAGCCTACATTTAATATCTGCCTCACTTGAAAAATGATTTAACTTACGTGTAAGACAGTATTTCTATATTGTTTTAAGTTATATCTCAAAGTGGAACGTTTGTGTTGCAAAAGTTCTCTGGAAAATTCGAACCTAAAATGGCAGCAGGCGGCGCGTGTTTTATTAACTTAGAGGCATAGAGGATTTACGTTCATTTGATCCACTACAATGTACCATAACCGTGCGTTCTGCATGTTTGTAAAAGCAAGCTAACTTGAAACACTAGACTATTCATTTTACAAGGTAATTTATACCCCCCAGCGTTTTCAAATACATGTAACTTAGCAAAGGTAATGATCGCAGCGAAAAGTTTTTTATTTAGAGATAATACAAATATTCAAGTTAAATATAACAAAATAGCTAGTTGAAAAGATATGAACATTTTTAAGTCAACAATACTTGATCTTTATATGTACAGTGTTAACACAAATTCTTAGTTAAAAGAAACTTAATATATAATGTTTGTGTCCCTTAAAAATTACTACTAAATAGAACTCAATTGATAAGATTATACTTTAACTTAAAACATTTCAGTTAAGGTATAAGTATTACTCAAAAACTTCGATGTAATCAGTTTAAAAAAAACTTCTATTAACTTGTCAGGTTTTACAGTGTACCTGGGAGTGCACTTAGACAATGGGCTGAACTGGAGGATCAACACTGACGCTGTGCACAAGAAGGGGATGAGCCGACTCTATTTTCTACCAGTCTGTGGTGGCTGGTGCACTCTTCTTTGCTGCGGTCTGCTGGGGGGGCAGCATCAGAGCCGGTGACACCAGCAGGATCAATAAACTGATCAGGAAAGCTGGGTCAGTCATCGGCATCAAGCTGGACCCCTTTGAAGCTGTGGTGGAGAGGAGGACACTGAACAGGCTGTTGTCCATCATGGATAACCCCAGCCATCCTCTCCACCTGCAGCTGGTCAGACAGATAACCCCTCCCCCCTCTCCACCTGCAGCTGGTCAGTCAACGGAGCTCCTTCTCCAACAGACTGCTGCACAGGGGCGGACTGGCCGTTGGGACGTTGGGCCGGTACTGAAGTGGGCCGGTCACTAGCACCCCCCCCCCCCCCCCCCCCCCCCCCTGTCGACAATTTCCTCGCGGTATGTATTTGCGGCACCGAGGTGGGCCGCTCGGATAACTCACTAGCACCCCCCCCCCCCGTTGACAACATACTTGCGGTACCGAAGTGGGCCGGTCGAGAGTCACGGGCTGATTTGTAGTCCCAGTACGCCCCTGCTGCTGCAGCTCCCCTGTCACAAGGACAGATACTGGAAAACATTCCTGCCCACTACAATAACTCTGTACAATAAATCACCTCTGGCTGGAAGAGAACTCTCTGCTCCATAGTTTCTCTTGAAATAAAACCACGTTGTACATTTTACTCATAAAATCTGTTCAATATTTAATACTATATATATGTCATATATTTTGAATATATATATATATTTGTATCTATAATATCAACATGTATATTTTCTATTTTATTTTATTTTTCTTTCTATTCTTGTTTATTTTGTACTACTATTATGCTGCTGTAACAAAAACAATTTCCCAATTTGGGATCAATAAAGTACTATCTTATCTTATCTTATCTTATCTTAAATGCAAATCAGTTTTTATCTTTTATATAATGTCCATTTCTGGATTTTCTTTTTGATGTTCTTACTCTCACTGTTTAGGGTTAGGGTTACCCTAAATTATAGACTCCTCTTCACTGATCAGCCTTTCTTTAAAACACTTAAACATTGAGTTCAGTAGTTTCACGCTGAGTAGTTTATTATGCCTTTAATAACCAGGAGAGACACACTAATGGCGCGTTTCCACTACACGGCCTCGCTCGGTATGGCTAGGCCTCGTTAGGACTGGCTCACTTTATGGCGCATTTCCATTACAGTTTAGGAACTGGGGTAGTATCTATAGTAACGCAGTGTAGGCAGAGCCGTGACGTCATCTTCAATGAGAACCCCAGAAAAACAACACAGCCGTTAGCAGTTAGCACTCAGAGCTCACAGCTCCTCATATATGTTCAGAAACTAGACAAAAGTTAAACAAGTACAAACCACAGACTGCCTGTGTCATGGTGAATACAGTCGCTGGTTTATTTATGTCTGTATAGGCCGTTGTTGTGAGTGTGGACGGTCGGAGCATATACTGCGTTAGCTTAGCCAATCTCCATTTAGAAAACATGCATTTTAAAAGGTTTTTCGCCTGCCGTCTGTCTGCAGACTTGACAAAGCATTAATTCATGGTTTTTACTAACCGGTATCAGTATGTTGTTACTTCGGCATCATTTTGAAACGTGTACTACAATTAAATCACGGTCAAATATGTCCATCTTGTTGTAGTTGTAGCCCCCTTGCCAGCGATGCTCTCTCTAGTTTAGCATACTCAGCCCGACTCAGCCTCGTTGTCTCTGGCCCTAGACCCACGATTTTATGAGGCCAGAAAAACTGTGAATTAGGACCCGCCGGCCGGTACTAGGCCAAGTGGAAACGCAACCAAAAACGGGCCGCTGACGTCACAGCCCTCTTAAACCGGGCTCCGCGCTGTAGTGGAAACGCGCCATAACACTCCTGAGCTCTGTGCCTTCACACCTTCTTCACTTTGCATCGCACATTTATATTATTACAATAAGCAGGATTTATTTACAGAGTCATCTGTGTGTGTAAACAGAGCAGCATGTGATCACAGCCAATACAGAACGTAGAGGTTTAGGAACCCTCCGGTTCTGCTGTTAGAACCTCAGACTGCATTATTACTGACTAACCATCATTCACTGACAGCAGCATCAACAGGGTTTACAACAGAGTCAGGGAACACCTTCATGGATACGTGGCTTTAATTGTTAATTTAAATACAGATATACAGAGGTGTAAAGTAACTGAGTACTTCTACTTTTACTCAAGAACAAGATCTGAGTACTTATACTTTTACTCAAGTACAAGATCTGAGTACTTATACTTTTACTCAAGAACAAGATCTGAGTACTTATACTTTTACTAAGTACAAGATCTGAGTACTTATACTTTTACTCAAGAACAAGATCTGAGTACTTATACTTTTACTCAAGAACAAGATCTGAGTACTTATACTTTTACTCAAGTACAAGATCTGAGTACTTATACTTTTACTCAAGAACACGATCTGAGTATTTTCACTCATTTTGAAATGGTTATATGATTTCCGACTTGCTCTGAAGGCAACACCGGGGGACTTTGCGCGCATGCGCATAATCTACTCTTGAGGAGACATGGCGTCGTCTCTGATCTGCAGCCGTCTGACGGCCAGCCTGAGAAACTCCGGCTCCAGAAGCACCATCAGATCGGCTACCAAGGTAAGAGTGAATTCACATTAAAGAGGAGACCTGTGTCCTTCCAGCAAGGTATCGCTGACAGCGCTGTGCCTTTATTAAAGACTTCAAACCCACCCGGGAAACTGACAGGGTCAAATCTGACATTAGCTTCTCTCCATTGGTTTCTGTTGTTTCGGCTAACATGCTAACATGTTAACTAGCGCGAAGCTACCGTTAGCTGACTGTCACAATGACAAACATCATTCAAACATCTAAATGGTTCTTAATCAAAAGTATAAAAGTGCTAGCTTTATAATATACTTTGAGTATCAAATGTAAAAGTACTCATTGTGCAGATTGGCCCATTTAAGCACGCTATATTTTAAATGACTGTATTCTAGTTATTGATGCATTAATGTGTTCATCTCTTTAATGCTGTCACAATGACACACATCAGATTAAACACTCCATTATTATTATTATTTATAATCATGGAGGTGTTTTTGTTTATTTATTTATCATGATTTAAACTGCTAGTGCACCCTCTCACCACCACTGCTGCTGCTGCTGTTGTTTACTACGGTTTATTTGATGTTGTTTTGTTGATTTAGTGCAGACTGGAGACACAAACAAGGACACAACAACACAATAGGGGAGATGACATTCCCATCTCACCAAGTAAAATACAATAAGTGTAATAGCACTCTTTAGACAAAAACAAACAAAGTAAATAAAGAGAAGACTTCATGGGAAATGGACTGTACTTATATTATATCTCTTTATCAGGTCTCAAAGCTCTTTACACACTACGAGTCATTCACCCATTCATGCAGAGCAGCACCACTTGCTCTAGGGAAGATAACACACACACACACTCACACATGCACAGACACACACACAGACACACACACACACACTCACTCACTCACTCACTCACTCACTCACAGACACACACACTCACTCACAGAAACACTCACTCACTCACTCACCGTTGGCAATTGGGAGCAACTCAAAACATAATTTTGAATGCAGGACTTTTACTGTAACAGAGTATTCCTACACTATGGTACTTTTACTCAAGTACAAGATCTGAGTACTTCTACTTTTACTCAAGAACAAGATCTGAGTACTTGAAAGGATACTACTTAAAAGTGACATTTCATCAGGATTACACTGTATGAAGCTTTAATACCATAGCTGCCATGTTTTCTAACACATCTGCCGGTTTATTACACAGTTGTCAAAAACATTGCCAAATAATAATAATAATACATTTTATTTAAGGCGCCTTTCATGACAGCCAAGGACACCGTACAATTTGTTAAAGGTCACCTATTATGCAAAATCCACTTCTTCATGTCTCTTCTACATCAACATGTGTCCCCTCTTCTTCATGTCTCTTCTACATCAACATGTGTCCCCTCTTCTTCATGTCTCTTCTACATCAATTATCAGATTTTGGCCACTTTATGATGTCATAACGATGTTTTGTCTTGTGTAACCATTAGCCAATCAGCAACCAAGGTAACCCCCCCCCCCCCCCACCTTATCACCTGAATCTCCTCCTCGAGCACCATTGAGTTCTTTTCAACCAATCATCTTGTGGGGAGGGGCTCCTTATTTTCATCGGAAGTAACAGACAGAGAATCAGCACTTTGGAAACAGGGCTGAAACAGAGGGGATTATGGGTAATGCTGCAATGATCTGTTTGGTGTTTCAGCCAATCAGAGACAGGCTCTGGATATATCTGAGACCTGTAATATATTGATGACAAACAGTATAATAGGAGACCTTTAAATATTCTAAGAGGTAAAAGCAAGAGAACAAGATAAAAACTCAAACATACCATCATGGAGAAGACGATTAAAGTGGACACACATGACAGGGAAAAGGTATTGAGGGGAAACAGGTGATAGGGAGCACTACAGAGAGTAGGCTGATCTGAAATACTAATGGTGTTCCTCTTGTGCTCCAGGTTCTTGGTGGTTGCTCAGGTGTGCTGGGAGGCCATGTTTCCCAGCAGCAGAGGAGCCTCTCTCTGCACGAGTACATGAGCATCGGGCTGCTGAAGGAGGCCGGGGTCTCGGTGCCTATAGGCCTGGTGGCCAGCTCCTCGGAGGAAGCTTACTCTGTGGCCAAAGAGATCGGTGAGCAGAGAGACAGTAATCAGATACTGTTGGGAAAATACTCATGTGACCGTGCTGTTGTTCCTTTATAGCCCAACGTTAGCCTCCTTTAGCTTAGCGGTGGTGACGTGAAGTCATGTGACCGTGCTGTAGTTCCTTTATAGCCCAACATTAGCCGCCTTTAGCTTAGCGGTGGTGACGTGAAGTCATGTGACCGTGCTGTAGTTCCTTTATAGCCCAACATTAGCCACCTTTAGCTTAGCGGTGGTGACGTGAAGTCATGTGACCGTGCTGTAGTTCCTTTATAGCCCAACATTAGCCACCTTTAGCTTAGCGGTGGTGACGTGAAGTCATGTGACCGTGCTGTAGTTCCTTTATAGCCTAACATTAGCCACCTTTAGCTTAGCGGTGGTGACGTGAAGTCATGTGACCGTGCTGTAGTTCCTTTATAGCCCAACATTAGCCTCCTTTAGCTTAGCGGTGGTGACGTGAAGTCATGTGACCGTGCTGCAGTTCCTTTATAGCCCAACATTAGCCTCCTTTAGCTTAGCGGTGGTGACGTGAAGTCATGTGACCGTGCTGCAGTTCCTTTATAGCCCAACATTAGCCTCCTTTAGCTTAGCGGTGGTGACGTGAAGTCATGTGACCGTGCTGTAGTTCCTTTAAAGCCCAACATTAGCCTCCTTTAGCTTAGAGGTGGTGACGTGAAGTCATGTGACCGTGCTGTAGTTCCTTTATAGCCCAACGTTAGCCTCCTTTAGCTTAGCGGTGGTGACGTGAAGTCATGTGACCGTGCTGTAGTTCCTTTATAGCCTAACATTAGCCACCTTTAGCTTAGCGGTGGTGACGTGAAGTCATGTGACCGTGCTGTAGTTCCTTTATAGCCCAACATTAGCCTCCTTTAGCTTAGCGGTGGTGACGTGAAGTCATGTGACCGTGCTGTAGTTCCTTTATAGCCCAACATTAGCCACCTTTAGCTTAGCGGTGGTGACGTGAAGTCATGTGACCGTGCTGTAGTTCCTTTATAGCCTAACATTAGCCACCTTTAGCTTAGCGGTGGTGACGTGAAGTCATGTGACCGTGCTGTAGTTCCTTTATAGCCCAACATTAGCCTCCTTTAGCTTAGCGGTGGTGACGTGAAGTCATGTGACCGTGCTGCAGTTCCTTTATAGCCCAACATTAGCCTCCTTTAGCTTAGCGGTGGTGACGTGAAGTCATGTGACCGTGCTGCAGTTCCTTTATAGCCCAACATTAGCCTCCTTTAGCTTAGCGGTGGTGACGTGAAGTCATGTGACCGTGCTGTAGTTCCTTTAAAGCCCAACATTAGCCTCCTTTAGCTTAGAGGTGGTGACGTGAAGTCATGTGACCGTGCTGTAGTTCCTTTAAAGCCCAACATTAGCCTCCTTTAGCTTAGAGGTGGTGACGTGAAGTCATGTGACCGTGCTGTAGTTCCTTTATAGCCCAACATTAGCCACCTTTAGCTTAGCGGTGGTGACGTGAAGTCATGTGACCGTGCTGCAGTTCCTTTATAGCCCAACATTAGCCTCCTTTAGCTTAGCGGTGGTGACGTGAAGTCATGTGACCGTGCTGTAGTTCCTTTATAGCCCAACATTAGCCACCTTTAGCTTAGCGGTGGTGACGTGAAGTCATGTGACCGTGCTGTAGTTCCTTTATAGCCCAACATTAGCCTCCTTTAGCTTAGCGGTGGTGACGTGAAGTCATGTGACCGTGCTGCAGTTCCTTTATAGCCCAACATTAGCCTCCTTTAGCTTAGCGGTGGTGACGTGAAGTCATGTGACCGTGCTGTAGTTCCTTTATAGCCCAACATTAGCCTCCTTTAGCTTAGCGGTGGTGACGTGAAGTCATGTGACCGTGCTGTAGTTCCTTTATAGCCCAACATTAGCCTCCTTTAGCTTAGAGGTGGTGACGTGAAGTCATGTGACCGTGCTGTAGTTCCTTTAAAGCCCAACATTAGCCTCCTTTAGCTTAGAGGTGGTGACGTGAAGTCATGTGACCGTGCTGTAGTTCCTTTAAAGCCCAACATTAGCCTCCTTTAGCTTAGCGGTGGTGACCTGAAGTCATGTGACCGTGCTGTAGTTCCTTTAAAGCCCAACATTAGCCTCCTTTAGCTTAGAGGTGGTGACGTGAAGTCATGTGACCGTGCTGTAGTTCCTTTAAAGCCCAACATTAGCCTCCTTTAGCTTAGAGGTGGTGACGTGAAGTCATGTGACCGTGCTGTAGTTCCTTTAAAGCCCAACATTAGCCTCCTTTAGCTTAGAGGTGGTGACGTGAAGTCATGTGACCGTGCTGTAGTTCCTTTATAGCCCAACATTAGCCTCCTTTAGCTTAGCGGTGGTGACGTGAAGTCACTACAGCACGGTCACATGACTTCACGCCACCACCTCTAAGCTAAAGGTTGCCTCTCTGAGATGTGCCGACCTTTGTGAGCGATTTTAAAACAGTGTCTGAGCAGCTGCTGATTTCTCTGTCTAAAAATAGTGACCTCAGTCTGCAGAGGATCACTTTACACTCTGCTGACCTTTATACAGCAGAGGAACAGGTCCACTCTGAAGGAAAACCCTCAGCTTTGACCGAGGTTATTGTTGAGCTTTCCAACTCATTTAGGGCTGAAGAAAAGCTATAATATCAACACATTACATTTCGTCCAACAAGGTTTATCTTAGTGACTTGTTTTAGGATAATATACTGTAATCTCTGGTTTGGCCGCTATATAAAACAGCAGTGAACATAAGGTAAAAGAATAGTTTTGCCCCCCAAAAATATTCTTTATTGCTCAGATTCAGGATGCTCACTAACAACAGGCCCGTTAACTCTGAGAGTAAATCAAACTATATTGACTAAATAACCTTCATTACGGGACTAAACGCCCTTGATAAAACACCTCTAGGCCCATATCTGCGTCTCATTAGTATTTGGAGCTCACAAATACATCATGGTTGTGTACTTCTGTTATTGTGATAATGTGTGTTTGGGTCTTTAATGAATACGTCAGACTATCTGCAGTGTCCCTCTGTGGTTTCTAACGCTGTACATTCACCCACTGTGGGACGGCTTCATGTGTGTTTCTCAGGTTCTAAGGATCTGGTGGTGAAAGCTCAGGTTCTGGCCGGTGGGCGAGGAAAGGGGACGTTTGAGGGCGGACTGAAGGGCGGAGTGAGGATCGTTTACTCGTGAGTTATCTGTCAGGACACACCACAACATGACAACAATGCTTACTTGCTTAAGTGTTGACTTTTTTGTGGATTGTTTTTCGGTGTACAACATGTGCTATATCCTGAATATAATACATTTCTTCCTCCTCCTCCTCTTCCTCCTCCTCTCAGACCCGAGGAGGCGCGGGACATTTCCTCTCAGATGATTGGTCGGAAGTTGTACACGAAGCAGACGGGGGAGGCGGGCAGAATCTGTAACCAGGTGTTCATCTGTGAGCGCAGGTATCCTCGCAGAGAGTATTACTTTGCTATCACCATGGAGAGACACTACCAGGTACACACAGACACAGACACAGACACACACACACACACACACTAATCAATTAATGACAGAAAATAATACACAGTTTATTGTTTATTCCTAGTTGCAGCCCAAGTATCTACAAAACATTTTTAAAGACTAAAAGTTAGAGTGGGAATCGGGAACATTTTTTTAAATTAATTTGATTCTCAGTCTTAACTTTTCGAGTGATTTGCAAGCATTTTAGTGGTTATAGAAAAATCTGTAACGGCGCTGCACTGACGAGTTATATTCATTAAAAAAGACTCCGATGATCCAAGGATTTCTTTTGTCTTGTTAAGGGTTTTTGAAATATGAGGACATTTCAGTGCATTATAAATCCTCCTTCATCATTATCATACATTATAAATGCTGTAGATAACGATGAGATGACGACTCAGAGAAAAGACTCTGAGGAACAGAGTGAGGATGAACAAAGAGCCAGGACATTGAGTTCACTTTGTTCCGGCTTCAGAGAGACTGCCATTTCATTTCTTTATCATAACCCTCCACACGCAGAGGCAATGGCTTCAATATGGCTGCAGCCTTTTATCGGTTTTAAAGTGTAAATGTGGACAAAAAGGGACTATTTCTTTTCACAAAAACTTAAATCATCACATACATTTTTTGTAAAATCATTAGAAAATAACAAAAATCATCAAGTCAACATTCAAAATCAACATTTAAAATCATGAGATTAAAAGTCAAAATCAAGAGTTTAACAATTAAAATCATGAGAAATAACAACAATTATGAGACGACATTCAAGATTCATATTTAAAATCATGAGATTAAAAGTCAAAATCATGCAATTAATAACTAAAATCATGAAAGCTAACAAGTCAAAATCATGAGATTATTAACTGAAATCATGAGATTATTAACTGAAATCATGAGATTATTAACTGAAATCATGGGACAGAAACTCAAAGTTGAGTTGTAAGAAAATGTTATTTGTATTTCCTCAGAAAAATTCAAATCATAACAAATATTTTTATGAAATGTAAAACAAAAGTCAAAATCACGAGATTAATAATTACATTCACGAGTTAAAAGTAAAAATAATGAGATATATAATAAAAATCATAATACAAAAAGTCAAAATCACGAGATTAATTATAAAAATCATGAGAAAAAAAGTCAAAATCAAGTGTTTTACACATATTTCAAACATCAGGAGAGTTCATCTGAGCATATCTTCATCCTGTGATCCGTGCAGTATTCAGAGGGACTCACGATGATGTGTTCATGATCAGAGTTTAATCCCATGACACAGTTTCATGGATTTTCCTGCTGAATTGAGCAGAATTTAACCCCTCGTGTTACCCGGGGAAAAAAAGTAAAAATCATCAGATAAAAATTCAAATGAGATCAATAATCCAAATCATGAGAGAAAAATTCACAATCATGAATTAAAAAATTAAACATGAACAAAAAGTCAAAACCATGTGTTTAAAAATATTAAAATCCTAATCTATCTGTAATCCTCTGATCCGTGCAGTATTCAGAGAGTCTGTTCATGATCAGAGTTTAACCCCTCGTGTTCCCCTCAGGGCCCGGTTCTGATCGGCAGCTCTCAGGGAGGCGTGAACATCGAGGACGTGGCGGCGGAAAGTCCTGACGCCATCGTGAAGGAACCCATCGACATCGTGGAGGGAATCAAGATGGAGCAGGCCGTCAAGGTACGATCAATACCAGACTGTTTGTGTTGCATTGTGGGGGACGGTGGCCTAATGGTGTTATTTCACAGAAGGGGAAAACAGTTTCTTAACAACGAACAGGTCCAATCTCTGAGAGGAAAACTTCCACTTCTGCTCAGAAAACTACATTCCTCTCACAGCCTGACGGAAGAAATGTGTTGTTATCAGGATTCATGACTTTCCGGATGTTATTTTCAAGGTTTCCAAGGCTTTGTAGGAGCGTTAGCGTTAATACTAAAGCTTCTATGTGGTGGTTAAACTTCAGGGATGACATGGACGATGCGTTTTGCTGTGTTCATAGATACCGTTTGTGTTGTTGTTTCATGAAGAGCAGGCAGGCTCGTTATCAGGTGCGGATTAATAGAATCAATTAATGTCCCGTAACAGGGTGTCCAAAGAGGTTGTATTCTACAGTCTGCCTGAATGTAATCATTGCGTAGGTGTGTAGTGTGATTCTGTGTACTTTATTTATGGCATCCCGTTGGGTTTGACGTCATCTGAACAGGACATCGCACGCTCACTGCTTGATAGCACGAAGCTCCGTTTACGCCGGTTGTTAAGCAACATCGTTATGGGGAAATGCAAGTCTGCGTCCAAATGGTTGGAAGATAAGGAGGAAGGACAATCAATACTGTATATAGTCAATGTGAGGTAAAGTGCGTCGCCAAGGTAACTGGTTAAAACTCCAAGTGGAGATGAGGTCTTAAAATGTATGGAAAGGGTCTTAGAAAAGGTCTTAACAGGTTTTACATGTGACTTCCTGCATATACCCTGCGTGATGAGCATCGTCGAAGTGAAGTCCATTTATTAAACCATTCAACTAACAATCCTTTGGTGACAAATTAAAACCCAAACATGAACTCTCATCAGAGGTTTTTCTATAAAAGCTACACTATGAGTACTGTGGCGCTGATATTGTTTACAAGATGTTTCTACTTCTGTCCTCTCGCCTCCCAAAGAACACGATTTAAGACTTTATTTCTTTATTCCAGATGTTTTTTTCCAAGGATTCAAAGGCTTTTTTGTCATAACACACACACACACACACACACACACACACACTCACACACTCACACACACACACACACACACACACACACACACACACACATACACACATACACACATACACACACACACACATACACACACACACATACACACACACACACAGACACACACACTCACAATCGCACACACACACACACACACACACACACACTCACACACTCACAATCGCACACACACAGAGAGACAAACACACAGAGAAAAACACACACACACAAGGTCACCCTGTTGTTCACGTTTAAGATAAGATCTTTAATTTGTCATTGTACAAGTACAACGAAATTACAATGTGAACTCAAGGTGCCAACGCGCAACAACAAGACAATATAAAAACAAGAAATGGAACTTAAATAGACATGATAGGGAATATGTACATAAATAAATAATGAATGAAATTGCACGATTCCTCTCGTATGACACGGAAGACATGATAACTTAAATATTAGCAGCGTTTAGTGCACATACGGCCCTGGGAAAGAAACTAAACTTGAGTCTGTTTGTCTGAAGACATGGTACAGAAGCGCCTGCCTGAGCGCAGCCGTACAAAGTGCTTGTTACCCGGGTGCTGTGGGTCCTTGAGGGTCTTCACTGCCTTCTTAAGGCAACGAGAGCTGTACAGTACCTCCAGGGAGGGGAGAGGGCACCCGATGACCTTCTGGGCCGAGTTGACGACCCTTTGGAGCGCACCCCTCTCTGCGGCTGTGCAGCTGAGGAACCAGATGCAGTAGTTTAAGCCACTAGATGGCACCAAAGGCTCTTTTGTCATATGCACAACAACAAGTCTCAACCATGCAACTTGGAGTATACTTACTACAAAAAGCAAACTAGTTCCAGTATGTAGCAGAAAACAGAAAAAATATGTACATTTAAAATAGAATAAAATAATGTAAAATTGGAAAATTAGTAGACTCTCCTCCACTTCCTAAAGAAAAAGACGTGTTTATAATAAGGCTTTTGTTTCTCATGCGTACATTAGGGTGGTCTAAGCTCCAACCCCCAGAATTCATTCCATTAGTCGAGAAAACTCTCCTGGTGAATGTTTTCCTCAATCTGACAACATTTACCCCCCCCCCCCTCATCGATCTGGGAACAAATAGAGCCTATAAGGATTACAATGAGAATGAAAAATGAAAATGAATAAAAACAATCCTTGAAGACAAGTGCCATAGATTCCCAAATGGTTAGCTTATAACACACAACATGCAGTGTTTTATTCAGATTCAGATGCCGTCTTTGCAATGAATACAAATAGGAACAGTTTTACAAAGTCCTCGTAATGGTCTTCAACGCCATCAACCACACTGGCCCCACCTACCTACAGGAACTGCTAACCAGAAAACATTCCCATACCTCACGCACACTCAGGTCAGACAGCTCCAATCTCCTGGCTGTCCCTGTTCACCATGGGAAACCGTGCTTTCTCCTCCCTGGGTCCACGTCTGTGGAATCAGCTTCCAGAGAACATACGGACCTCGGCATCACTCTCAGTTTTTAGGAAATGCCTCAAGACCCACCTGTTCCACACCGCATTTTACTGACCGTCCTTTACTTTATTTATTTTTAAACCTTCTATGCTCTTAACCTTTTATTTGTATTTATTTTCTATTGCCATATTTTATCCAATATGCTCCTTTAGATAACTTTTTACTTATTGTTCCTTATAGCTTTGTGAAGCACCTTGAGATGACGTTGTTTTTAAAGTGTGCTATATAAATCAAATGTATCATTATTATTATAAATCATTTTCTCACAAGTATAATATAATAATAATGAATAACAACAACGTAAGACAAATCAGTGCAATGGAGTTTTATAAATGCTTACCTCATTACACAGTTAAATGTATTAAAGGGGACCTGTCATGCAAAAGTCACTTTTTGATGTCTTTTATACATAAATATGTGTCCCCGGTGTGTGTCCGGTGTGTGTCCGGTGTGTGTCCGGTGTGTCAGGGAACTCACGCAGCGTCAGAAAATAAAACCCTCTCTCTTTTCCTCCGTACCCAAATCTCTAAAAACGGGGGAACAACGGAGCTGATCCAGATTTGCGTCCGATATGATGTAATATCTGAAATGTGGACCCACGGGCCTATCAGAAACGTTGCTATCAGAAACAATGCCCGACTGTTTTGGACGTAATATGGTCGGTGTTTACATTAGCATCGCTAACACTCAGAGCTAACCTGTACTGGAGAGCATGTGTGTGAAGAAGCAGGAAATAAAAAGGAACTCACCTTGTGGTATAACAAGAGAGAAAGCCTTTGAGCTCCATACTGTTTCAGAGAGAATCCTTGATAATCCATGATATGGCGTTTCATCACGGCAGTATTTAGTTTAGACGGTAGCTGCCGGGTCCCGCATGAGCTCAGACCCCTCCTTTTTGATTGTAAAGCTTTTTACCCAAACCAGCACTTTAGAAACAGGAAGTGAAATAGAGGGATATGAGGCATGGCTAGAATGATCTGTTTGGTGTTTTGAGCAAAACACTTCATAGACATGTTTTTTATATATTTGTATATATCTGAGACCTATGCTATTGCCTAGAAATAGCATGATAGGTGACCTTTAATATAAGTCTTAAAATCTTGCTAAATATGTTCTATACAGTCTTCATTCCTCCACCTTCATTTTGTTATAACTCATAATAAATATCCAGCTGCTCTGAAAACCATCATCCTCCTCTTTTTGATTTCCAGACTGCCGGCTGTCATTAGCAGCACTCAGGTTTTTAAAATCATCCGTTCTAGTGATAAATATACCTTTGACTGTGGACGGTAATTTGACAGATAATGTGTTTTTTATTCATAACGATGACAGCTTGTCTGAACATTTGAGGTTTGTAGATATTGGGCTTCAGCTCGGCGGGTTTAAATCGTCTGTAAAGCTTTATTTGATTATTATTAAAAGCATGTTGGCACTAAATGTAACTAAAACTGTCGTCCATGACCAAAGAGTGTACGCCAGTGGGACCTACGATAAAAAAGACTCCCCGACGTCTATCTCAGGTCAGCAACAAAGAGCCAGAGCTGCTCCTCCTTAAAGGGGACCTATCATGCAAAATGCACTTTCTGATGTCTTCTCTACATCAACATGTGTCCCCGGTGTGTCAGGAGACTCACAAAGTGATGTCTTCTCTACATCACTATGTCTCCCGGTGTGTCCCCGGTGTGTCCCCGGTGTGTCCCCGGTGTCTCCCGGTGTCTCCCCGGTGTGTCCCCGGTGTGTCAGGAGACTCTCAAAGTGTCAGGAAATAAAACCCTCTCGCTTTTCCTCCGTACCCACATCTCTAAAAACGGGGGAACAACGGAGCTGATCCAGATTTGCTGCGTCATGACGACATTACTAAAATGTGGGCGGGCTTTAAACCCACGGGCCAATCAGAAACGTTGCTGTCAGAAACAATGAGAGGTGTTCTGGAAGTAATATGGTCTGTGTTTACATTAGCATGCTAACACTCAGAGCTAACCTGTACTGGAGAGAGTATGTGTGAAGAAGCAGGAAATCAAAAGGAAGTCACCTTGTGGTAAACCTGAGAGAGAAAGAGTTTGAGCTCCATACTGTTGAGAGAATCCTTGATGTGGTTTGGAACACGATATGGAGTTTCATCACGGCAGAATTTAGCTGAGTTTCTGATGGGAGAGTTCTCCTGATGAGATCTACTCTCTCTCTAAAGCTTTAGACCCAGAGTCAGCTCCTTAGTAACAGCTGGAAGAGAGGGGGGGGGGGGCTACAAGGATCTGTTTGGGGTTTGGAGCAGGACACTTCAGAGACATGTTTTATATATATATCTGAGACCTGTGATATATGCCTACAAATGGTGTAAGAGGAGACCTTTTAAGAGAGATAGCCGTAGACCTCTGCCATGGGAAAGGAGAAAGTGATGTACAGGGTCAAAGGTCAGAAACCTAATCTTGATACACCCCTTCTCCTCCGTCAGGTGGCTCAGAAGATGGGCTTCCCTCCGGCTCTGGTGGACGACGCAGCTCAGAGCATGATGAAGCTCTACAACCTGTTCATCAAGTACGACGCCTCCATGCTGGAGATCAACCCCATGGTGGAGGACTCTGATGGAACAGGTACACACACACACACACACACACACACACACACACACACACACACACACACACACACACGGTGGACTCTTATGGCACATTTCCACTGCAGGGCCTAGCTCGGCTTAGTACGGTATAGTTAGGCCTTGGTAGGCCAGGTTCACTTCATGCTGCATTTCCATTACAGTTTAGGAACTGGGGTAGTATCTATAGTAACGCAGTGTAGGCGGAGCCGTGACGTCATCTTCAATGAGAACCCCAGAAAAACAACACAGCCGTTAGCTGTTAGCACTCAGAGCTCACAGCTCCTCATATATGTTCAGAAACTAGACAGAAGTTAAACAAGTACAAACCACAGACTGCCTGTGTCATGGTGAATACAGTCGCTGCTTTATTTATGTCTGTATAGGCCGTTGTTGTGAGTGTGGACGGTCGGAGCATATACTGCGTTAGCTTAGCCGGTCTCCATTTAGAAAAACACGCATTTTAAAAGGTGTTTCGCCTGCCGTCTGTCTGCAGACTTGACAAAGCATTAATTCATGGTTTTTACTAACCGGTATCAGTATGTTGTTACTTCGGCATCATTTTGAAACGTGTATTACAATTAAATCACGGTCAAATATGTTCATGTTGTTGTAGTTGCCAGTGATTCTCTCACTAGTTTAGCATACTCAGCCCGGTTGTTGGCCTGGAAAGAACCTCGATTTTGGAGAGCCAGAAAAACTGTGAAAAAGTACCCGCTAGCCGGAACTACGCCTAGTGGAAACACAACAAAAAACGAGCCGGGCACGACACGCTTAAACCGCTCTGTAGTGGAAATGCGCCATAATGGCACCGGTACACACACACTAACGCACACGCACACACACACACACACACACAGACACACACACACACACAGACACAGACACACGCACACGCGCAGTTTGGCGCCGTCTGCTGCTATATTGCAGCGGTTAAATCCAATATGTTCGGAGAGACGCTCACTTCTCTATAAAATCAACTGTAACTCATCTAGCTCTGACCCAATGTTCCTCAAGGTTCAAGGCTTTTATTGGTCGTGCGTACAGAGCTGCAGTGTACTTAGGACGATGAAAATCTGAGGTCACAGGCTCAAATGTGGTTTGTTGTAAACGTGATCAAGATACTGGTTACTCACAGGGATAAAGCTGAGACTTCACTTTCCCCTCTCTTGCTAAATGATGATTAGAACTGAAATATGTTGCTGCTGCAAGAAGAAATATTCCTCTGATGCTAACGTGTGTGTGTGTGTGTGTGTGTTCTCAGTGATGTGCATGGACGCTAAGATCAACTTCGACTCGAACGCAGAGTACCGCCAGAAGAAGGTGTTCGCGATGCAGGACTGGTCTCAAGAAGATCCAAGAGACCATCAGGCAGCCAAAGCTGATCTGAACTACATCGGACTGGATGGATCCATCGGGTGTCTGGGTGAGACATGAGAGAGGAAGAGGAGGGGAGGACGAGGAGGGTATACAGAGGAAGAGGAGGGCATTTAGGTTTTAAATGCACATGATCTGGGAACCATGTGTGTTATTGACAGAGGACATGTGAGGTTTAGAAAGTGAAAAATGACGCCTCATGCAACCACATTGTGTTTATTATTTACCTGAATGTGTTTCATGGGAGTGTTGTTGCCATTAGCTCATTTCCACTTCATGAACCCCACGTTTCCTGGGATTATTGCCAATTAAATGATACCAATCGGCACCAAAAATCCCTTGAGAGAGTAATCAATTAGCAGCCAATCAGCACAGGCCTGGTCTCAGGTGTACCAACAGCCTCTCACCTGTTGGAGGTCTTTATTTCTGGGTGTCTCTCCTCAGTGAACGGAGCAGGATTGGCGATGGCCACCATGGACATCATCAAGCTGCACGGAGGCACACCTGCCAACTTCCTGGATGTTGGGGGCGGAGCCACAGCTCATCAGGTGACTGAGGCCTTCAAGCTCATCACCTCCGACAGGAAGGTAAGTGGGGCGGAAGCTATTAAGAGAAACTGATCAATGATTCAGGGACAAACGTTTGTTATATTTAATGTTAGAAAGATCTCACTTGAGCTTCAATACTAATAGATAGAAAGTAGAAGTACTCAGATCTTGTACTTGAGTAAAAGTAGAAGTACTCAGATCTTGTACTTGAGTAAAAGTAGAAGTACTCAGATCTTGTTCTTGAGTAAAAGTAGAAGTATTCAGGTCTTGTACTTGAGTAAAAGTAGAAGTACTCAGGTCTTGTACTTGAGTAAAAGTAGAAGTACTCAGATCTTATACTTGAGTAAAAGTAGAAGTACACAGATCTTGAGTCAAAGTAGAAGTACTCAGATCTTGAGTCAAAGTAGAAGTACTCAGGTCTTGTACTTGAGTAAAAGTAGAAGTACTCAGATCTTGTACTTGAGTAAAAGTAGAAGTACTCAGATCTTGTACTTGAGTAAAAGTAGAAGTACTCAGATCTTGTACTTGAGTAAAAGTAGAAGTACTCAGATCTTGTACTTGAGTAAAAGTAGAAGTACTCAGGTCTTGTACTTGAGTAGAAGTACTCAGATCTTGTACTTCAGTAAAAGTAGAAGTACTCAGATCTTGTACTTGAGTAAAAGTACTCAGATCTTGTACTTCAGTAAAAGTAGAAGTACTCAGATCTTGTACTTGAGTAAAAGTAGAAGTACTCAGATCTTGTACTTGAGTAGAAGTACTCAGATCTTGTACTTCAGTAAAAGTAGAAGTACTCAGATCTTGTACTTCAGTAAAAGTAGAAGTACTCAGATCTTGTACTTGAGTAGAAGTACTCAGGTCTTGTACTTCAGTAAAAGTAGAAGTACTCAGATCTTGTACTTGAGTAAAAGTAGAAGTACTCAGATCTTGTACTTGAGTAAAAGTAGAAGTACTCAGATCTTGTACTTGAGTAAAAGTAGAAGTACTCAGATCTTGTACTTGAGTAAAAGTAGAAGTACTCAGATCTTGTACTTGAGTAGAAGTACTCAGATCTTGTACTTGAGTAAAAGTAGAAGTACTCAGATCTTGTACTTGAGTAGAAGTACTCAGATCTTGTAATTGAGTAAAAGTAGAAGTACTCAGATCTTGTACTTGAGTAAAAGTAGAAGTACTCAGATCTTGTACTTGAGTAGAAGTACTCAGATCTTGTACTTGAGTAAAAGTAGAAGTACTCAGATCTTGTACTTGAGTAAAAGTAGAAGTACCAGAGTGTAGGAATACTCTGTTTCAGTCAAAGTCCTGCATTCAAAATGTTCCTCAAGTAAAAGTAGAAAAGTATTATCATCAAAATATAGTTAAAGTAGAGACAGTAAAAGTAGTCATTGTGCAGATTGGTCCATTTCAGAATAATATATATGATATGTTTTATAATGATTGATCATGAAAGTGTTCTCAAAGCTGGTAAAGGTGCAGCTAGTTTGAATGACTTTGTATACTGCAGGGTAGCTTGTGGATTTACTCCAGGTGGAACTAAAGTCTGATTTAACACTTGGTTATATTTCACATCATTCATCCACATCTGTGAAGTAACTAAAAGGATTAAATACATTACGTAGCTATGTCAAAAGATGGCAGTTAGCTCCAAACAGTGATGCTGCTAATGCTAACACTAACTTGTGTCTCAGGTCCAGGCGATCCTCGTGAACATCTTCGGAGGAATCATGAGGTGTGATGTCATCGCTCAGGGCATCATCATCGCTGTGAGAGACCTGGAGCTCAAGATCCCCATCGTAGTGCGGTTACAAGGTACACATACACACAGACACAGACACACACACACACACACACACACACACACACACAGACAGACACACAACTCATGAGAACCCCAGAAACACAACACAGCCGTTAGCTGTTAGCACTCAGAGCTCACAGCTCCTCATATATGTTCAGAAACTAGACAAAAGTTAAACAAGTACAAACCACAGACTGCCTGTGTCATGGTGAATACAGTCGCTGCTTTATTTATGTCTGTGTAGGCCGTTGTTGTGAGTGTGGACGGTCGGAGCATATACTGCGTTAGCTTAGCCGATCTCCATTTAGAAAACACGCATTTTAAAAGGTGTTTCGCCTGCCGTCTGTCTGCAGACTTGACAAAGCATTAATTCATGGTTTTTACTAACCGGTATCAGTATGTTGTTACTTCGGCATCATTTTGAAACGTGTATTACAATTAAATCACGGTCAAATATGTCCATCTTGTTGTAGTTGTAGCCCTCTTGCCAGCGATTCTCTCTCTAGTTTAGCAAACTCAGCCCGACTCAGCCTGGTTGTTGGCCCGGAAAGAACCACGATTTTGTCGGGCCAGAAAAAAGGTGAAAAAGTGGCCCCGGCCGGAACTAGGCCAAGTGGAAACGCAACCAAAAACGGGCCCGGCACGACACGGCACGACAATGCGCCATAAGACTTCTCTTCACACGTCATCTTTTATAGTCTCTTGCCTCCTCCCTCTCTGCATCAGGTGGTCTCCCCTTTTCTACCTTTGAGGGAGAAGGAGGTCACATAGGTCCAACTTTTACTTAAAGGGGACCTATCATGCAAAATGCACTTTTGTACGTCTTTTCTACATGAACATGTGTCCCCGGTGTTCCAGGGAACTCACCAAGTGTCAGAAAACACAACCCTCTCTATTTTCCTCCATACCCAAATCTCTAAAAAAGGGGCTGCAACGGATCTGATAAAAACTGATCCAGATTTGAACACTGTCCTGACGTCAGGACGGTGGCGCTACGGCTATTGGGCCAACTCCACCAATCAGGAGGAGACAGCCACGGCCATTGCCGTTCCAAAGCGCTGGAGACGCTGTAGTACATATGCCAGGCCAGTAGATGGTGCTGTTCTCACAGAATCAACCCTTGCTAAAACAGGGGTAAAAAAGTGCAAATTGAGCAAAATGAGGCATGGCTAAAATGCATGATCTGTTTGGTATTTTGAAGAAAAAAAAAGTATAAATATGCCTTATATAGGTATGGTCCTACACTATATTATTCAAATATAGCATGATAGGTCCACTTTAATGAACAATTAAAAATGTAAAGTTAAAATAAAACAAATAAAGACTTATAGTAATAATATGCAATTTTAACAAGAGGGAATATGAACATGTTTCATGAAAGCAGAACACATTGTCATGTTTTAGAATCAAGTTTTTCTCTTTAAACATTTAATTTCAAATATGCAAACTTTATACTTTAATTTATTAACAGAGACAATAAGGACAGCTTGTCTCTACGATTCGCTGGCCCAGGAAGTTGGTTCGACCCTTTGCGTAGGTCGCCTGCATCCTGTGCCTCATTGTCTTCATACCCGCTGTAACCGCTCTCAAGGTGTCAAAGAACACAAGCGCCTTCTCTGAATTGTGGCTGGATCTTTTACGCTTTTTACGCCATCTAGAATGCGTAGTGTGCATACGTAGGTCAAGAGTTCAGAATGTTCTATCTGGTTTCACACGCCTGGTCTCACACGTCTGAAAAGACATGAAGGAAACATACATCCTTTCTATTTACAGCCAATTTAGCATATTTTCATCAATGGTAAGCTTAATGGAGGTCGGTGAGGTAAAGATCAGGTCTGACACGGCCACTTACACAGCAGACCTGTCAACAGGTGTGTCTAATGGCGCATTTCCACTACACGGCCTCGCTCGGCCCCGCTCGGTATGGCTGGGCCTCGTTAGGACTGGCTCACTTTATGGCGCATTTCCATTACAGTTTAGGAACTGGGGTAGTATCTATAGTAACGCAGTGTAGGCGGAGCCGTGACGTGATCTTCAGAGGACCCCAGAAAAACAACACAGCCGTTAGCTGTTAGCACTCAGAGCTCACAGCTCCTTATATATGTTCAGAAACTAGACAAAAGTTAAACAAGTACAAACCACAGACTGCCTGTGTCATGGTGAATACAGTCGCTGCTTTATTTATGTCTGTATAGGCCGTTGTTGTGAGTGTGGACGGTCGGAGCATATACTGCGTTAGCTTAGCCGATCTCCATTTAGAAAACACGCATTTTAAAAGGTGTTTCGCCTGCCGTCTGTCTGCAGACTTGTCAAAGCATTAATTCCTGGTTTTTACTAACCGGTATCAGTATGTTGTTACTTCATCATTTTGAAACGTGTATTACAATTAAATCACGGTCAAATATGTCCATCTTGTTGTAGTTGTAGCCCCCTTGCCAGCGATTCTCTCTCTAGTTTAGCATACTCAGCCCGACTCAGCCTCGTTGTCTCTGGCCCTAGACCCGCGATTTTATGAGGCCAGAAAAACTGTGAATTAGGACCCGCCGGCCGGTACTAGGTGGAAACGCAACCAAAGACGGGCCGCTGACCTCACAGCCCTCTTAAAACCGTGCTCCGCGCTGTAGTGGAAACGCGCCATAAGAGACTCTCAGTGTGTAGTGTGTGCCCTGATCTCAGCTGACAGGTGGGTGTCTCCTCGCAGCGACTCGTTCCATCCACAGTAACAACATCCCACAATAACAACATCCCACAGTAATAACATCCCACAGTAACAACATCCCACAGTAACAACATCCCACAGTAACAACATCCCACAGCCACAGTGACTGTAGAGGAGTGTGACTCTCTGACATGTTGATGTTTTTATTCTGAAGGAACCAGAGTGGACGACGCCAAAGCTCTGATCGCTGCGAGTCCTCTGAAGATCTTAGCCTGTGACGACCTGGACGAGGCCGCCAAGATGGTACGCACACACGCACACACACACTCACTCACTCACTCACTCACTCACTCACAGACACACAGACACACAGACACACAGACAGACAGACAGACAGACAGACAGACAGACAGACACACAGACACACAGACAGACAAGGTTCAAGGTTCAAGGTTCTTTATTGTCAATCTGACATAGCTACAGAGTAATTATGCAGTTGAAAATCTTATGTCACAGGCTTCTCCAACAATGCAACATAATAACATAACAGACAGACACACAGACACACAGACACACAGACAGACACACACACACACAGACAGACAGACAGACACACACACACACCTGGTCTGCACACTGTTCCTCTTTGATGTAAGGTTTCAGATACCTGTATTTACTGATCTGAAACACGGTTACCCTAAATATAATCTCTCTCTCTCTGTCTCTGTCTCTCTGTCTCTCTGTCTCTCTGTCTCTCTGTCTCTCTCTGTCTCTGTCTCTGTCTCTCTGTCTCTCTGTCTCTCTGTCTCTCTCTGTCTCTCTCTGTCTCTGTCTCTGTCTCTCTGTCTCTCTGTCTCTCTCTGTCTCTCTGTCTCTCTGTCTCTCTGTCTCTCTGTCTCTCTCTGTCTCTGTCTCTGTCTCTCTGTCTCTCTGTCTCTCTCTCTCTCTCTGTCTCTCTGTCTCTCTGTCTCTGTCTCTCTGTCTCTCTCTCTCTGCAGGTTGTGAAGCTTTCTGAGATCGTCTCTCTGGCTAAACAAGCTCAGGTGGACATCACCTTCCAGCTGCCCATCTAAAGAGAGACACACCTCCACCTCCACCTCAAACACTTCCTCTGTCTCCCCCACAGCCTCCCTCCACTCCCCCTTTTTTAGTTTGACTGTGGCACGATGGCATCTGAAACGAGGTAAACTCGTCACGTTCCTCATCAAAAGGAAATTAAATTCAGCTAACTGTGGAAAGAGAAGAGCCGTGTCTAGATGCACACCAAATGGTTTATGCCACTTCTCGCTAAAAGGTGCAAACTATTTGTGCACATTTCCTGCATCGTTACTTAGTAAAAAGCCTCTGTTCCTCGTCCCTCTGTGATCTCAAACTCCGCCTCCTTCCTTAGTCGTTGCACTTGAGTCGATACGCACCCACATTTGAACTTTAAACTCCTTCTCTCATTTATTTATTCATGCATTTCATGGAGAATATCAAACGTAAACAGACGAGCTGAAGCCGTTATTTAGTGTTTCCACTTCAGTTCAAACCAGTGACACTCTGGCTCTGATGCACAAGTTGAAAGGAGGCATTGTAATCCGGTTACTTTCATTTTCACACCTGGACAGTTTTTGCATGATGTCAGCGTGTTGTTCCAGAATAACAGATCGTCTTTGAAGTCTTTTTTTTTTATCAAACACACAACCATCGATTGAAGCGCCGCAGCTTCACCTGAGCAGAGATTCACCTCCTGTGTTCAGCTGGTTTAAAAACACGTTTCCTGTTACAAAGTGGAGCCAGAGCCCCTCCGTCACACCGGGTGGAGCTACACTGAATAAACATGTTACTGAAACACGCTCTCCCGAGATGATCGGACGCCACTGGAAGCAGGTTTTGCTTAAACCTAATTTCCTACAGAGACAAACGTCTAGTGGCATATCTCTATGTCTATCTATATCTGCATGAAGGTTAGCTTTGGACACGTGAAGCTAAGGGTTGAGTATTACTGCTGCTTGGATTTGCATTTTGAGTAGAAAAGATTTTGTTGGTTTTAGCTCAGAAATTGGCGCTTTTGCAGACTAGTAACAACCAGTCTTGCAGATGTAATCAACTGCAGTCTCATTACATCACATAACTGTACGCTCTGGGGCTGAATCCACGAGTCAGAGGACATGTATACATAAACGTGAAAAATGTCAAATATTTAACACACACCCAGCTTCAGTGGAACATCTGGTATTGATCCGTGAGGTTTCAGATTCTTACACGAGTCCAAATGAATTGTTCAGTGTTCCCAGAGAAAAGCCCAGAGGGAGGGACACGGAGAGTTAAAGTGGACTCAGTTTCTCGCTCTGATAAACCCAATTATTCCCTGCTGACCGATGCACCCCGAACGCATCGTCTCACGTCCTGCAGACCGATGCACCCCGAACGCATCGTCTCACGTCCTGCTGACCGATGCACCCCGAACGCATCGTCTCACGTCCTGCAGACCGATGCACCCTGAACGCATCGTCTCACGTCCTGCAGACCGATGCACCCTGAACGCATCGTCTCACGTCCTGCTGACCCTCAAACTGACCTCCATCTGTGCAGAAACCCCTCTTTAGTGTGTCGGGGTTTCCTCCTCCTCCTGCGACGTTTGAAGCTGCGAGACAGCTGCACTTTGTGTTTCTGCCATCATGCCACTCCACTTTCTTTCTGTCACCTCCACATCAGGGAGGCTGTGGGCGCTCACCAAAACGGTTAAATGACTGTAGTTGTGTCTTTACTTCCTCCTCCTCATCTCCCTCCTCCTCATCTCCATGAGTTTCGAACACCTTGTGAGTTGTACGTCATTTATTATATCTTGTAAATAACCTGCTGATGTTCTCTCTCTGTAACATATTTATGCTCCCTGCAAAGGAGTACGACAAAAGGAAGAATAATAAAAACGGAGAACATCAAGGAAGTGTTTGAGTCTTCTTTTGTATTCACGCCTAACCCTGTTATTAGAAACCCTTATTTCCTCTTTAGAAAGGAGGCTCGTTTGAGACGAGCGAGACGACGCAGACCTGCACAATTGCGACCGCCGTCTTGCTCGTGCGTTGCATGATGGGTAGTCATTTTGTCCGACTTGCTCAGGAGGCTCGCCTACATGAGACGTTGAAATCTCGCGGGACAAAGACGCCCGCAGACTTTGAGAGCGAGGCGAGGCGGCGCAGTTTCTCTCCACGGGCTGCGGAAGAGAAATGCTTGATGGGAAACGACTTGCTGGTATCTCGAGCTGAGCGCTCATTGGTGGGTTTTACCCCGTGCTGGAGATGAAACTCTCCATTGGCTCAAGTGTGTTGTTTTGTGTCAGTTTTACGTCGCCACTTCCATTCACATTTTTCATAATCGTTCCACAATGTTTATCATCATTAAATTAATATCTATATATTTTATACTATACTTGCACTGCTTACCGTTGTCATACTTTATATATCTTAGCATATTCATACAACACACTGTTCATACTAGGCTAGGCTACTGTGTATATAGTGTATTCATACCCCTCACTGTTTTTTCATCATTCTATATTTTATTCTGTAGATTGTGTACAGTACTTTTCACTTTACTGCTTGTTGCACTCCTGGTTAGAAGCTAAACTGCATTTCGTTGTCTCCTGTAATCTGTGCCATAACAATAAAGTTGAATCTAATCTTGAGCAGGAACAAATGTATTTAGTTAGTACATAACTGACCAGGGGCTGACTGGCCATCGGGACGTTCGGGACGATGTGGGCCGCTCGGATAACTCTTTAGGGTTAGGGTTAAGACCACTGACGGAAGTAGTTTTGAAAAGTAATAAGTGGTTCTTTTACCTGTAGGATTCAAACCCCCCTTGTATTGATTTGTTTTCAAAGGAACCGACACTTGAGTCATTCATTTGTAGTGATATCATAATTGTGGGATTTCTATTGCATCCACTTCATCTGCAACGAAGAACGCCAGCGCAATTTCCGCCTTTGCAAACCGAGTCAAGCCGACCCCGAGCTGTCCGGCTTCAGGCGAGCTTTTTGAGACCCCCCCCCGGCTGCAATCGGCTATTCTCGTCTACTTCTGAGGCGAGCCGCAGCTCATCTCAAACAAGCCTAGTGACTCCAGGTTTACAGAAAACCAGCAAGTGAAGTCACGTGACTGGGAAATAACGTACTGGGAAAAGGAGAGTTTTTGTAATAATTTCACCGTTTTCTTTTAGCTTTCTCTTCAAAACTGGCTCCAATCTTTATGGCCATGGTCTGTCGATGCGTCTGGTGTTTGCTTTACACTGACGTATAACATCCAAGTACTTCTTCCACTACAATCAAAAGCCAATAATGAACTTGTTCCACTTTTTTAATTAAGTAGAAAGTGACCCTAAATGTAAAAAAATTGAACAAAAGTCGTGGTTTGTTTTTCCACTAAAGGATCAAACTGCTCGAGTCGCTGCAGAGAAAACATCAAGAGCTGCTTTCAGATATGAGAGGACCTCCTGCTGCTTTCATTACTATTCACACACACACACACACACAGACACACAGACACACTGGAGGACTCTAATGGAACAGGTACACACACACTCACAGACACACAGACACACGGTGGAGGACTAATGGAACAGGTACACACACACTCACATGGTGGAGCTTTCTAATGGCACCGGTACACACACACACTCACTTGGACACAGACACACAAGCACACACACTCATTCTCACACTCACACCCCCGCCACACACACACACACACAGTGGAGGACTAATGGAACAGGTACACACACACACTCACATGGTGGAGCTTTCTAATGGCACTGGTACACACACACACACACACACACTCGGACACAGACACACAAGCACACACACTCACACACTCATTCACTCATTCTCACACTCACACCCCCCACACACACACACTTACACACACACTTACACACACACACACACCACAGTTGGACTCAGGTTCTGCAGGAGAAGACGTTTTCATCACGTGTCGTGTTTTAATATAAATGGTCTGCAGAGGCTAACATCGTTATGTTTCTCTCCCACACAAATAAGTATATCATCAGGTTTCTTAGCTAGTATTGGTTTAATTACGTAAGAATTAACTGTCCCATTACACAACAAACTAAACAATGCAATATAATAATTATAAAATAAAATAATGATAAATCAAAATATGTCTGTAGTGATCAACCAAGAGATAAGTGCTCTGCTAACTGGGACAACACATCGGCATATGTCTTGTTCCTCCTGAGCTCATCAGACATGCTAACCCCTGTTATAACCACAGGTGACTTTAATGAGGGCGAAATAAAGAGAAATCCTCTTTCTGAGCGTGACTCAGCGTCCAGAAATATTCTTTCTATTTCCGTCTCCATCCTTTTTCAGCTCTTATTGGACCTTTTTATAAATTCATGACATTTTCACAGTCATATTAAAATGGTCCCCGCAGCAGCAGCAGCTCTGAATGAAGACATGTATTAAACTCAGGTCACACGGTTCGTCTCGCCAGAATAAAAACGTCATAAAAACCTGATTCTTAAAATATCTGAGCAGGAGAAACGTGGGAGTTTTAGAGTCAACACGCTTTCTGTCAGACGCATTTAAGTCTAACTGAGACCCACTCCCAGAGGAAGTACTCAGAGTTTTTCTGCTGCTAACACACTCAAATGCGACACCTATTATTTAAAATCCACTTCTTCATGTCTCTTCTTCATCAACATGTGTCCCCTCTTCTTCATGTCTCTTCTACATCAACATGTGTCCCCTCTTCTTCATGTCTCTTCTACATCAACATGTGTCCCCTCTTCTTCATGTCTCTTCTACATCAACATGTGTCCCCTCTTCTTCATGTCTCTTCTACATCAACATGTGTCCCCTCTTCTTCATGTCTCTTCTACATCAGCATGTGTCCCCTCTTCTTCATGTCTCTTCTACATCAACATGTGTCCCCTCTTCTTCATGTCTCTTCTACATCAACATGTGTCCCCTCTTCTTCATGTCTCTTCTACATCAACATGTGTCCCCTCTTCTTCATGTCTCTTCTACATCAACATGTGTCCCCTCTTCTTCATGTCTCTTCTTCATCAACATGTGTCCCCTCTTCTTCATGTCTCTTCTTCATCAACATGTGTCCCCTCTTCTTCATGTCTCTTCTACATCAACATGTGTCCCCTCTTCTTCATGTCTCTTCTATATCAACATGTGTCCCCTCTTCTTCATGTCTCTTCTACATCAACATGTGTCCCCTCTTCTTCATGTCTCTTCTATATCAACATGTGTCCCCTCTTCTTCATGTCTCTTCTTCATCAACATGTGTCCCCTCTGTGGAAAGAGACTCTGAAAGTTTCAGGAACAAAGATTCTCTCTCTTTTTGATCCATTTCTATAAAAACCTGTCTGAAAATGAGCTGATCAGATTTTGGCCACTTTATGATGTCATAACGATGTTTTGTCTTGTGTAACCATTAGCCAATCAGCAACCAAGGTAACCCCCCCCACCTTATCACCTGAATCTCCTCCTAGAGCACCATTGAGTTCTTTGTAACCAAATCTCTCTCAGAGGGGCGTGGGGAGGGGCTCCTTATTTTCATCTAAAGTAACAGACAGAGAATCAGCACTTTGGAAACAGGGCTGAAACAGAGGGGATTATGGGTAATGCTGCAATGATCTGTTTGGTGTTTCAGCCAATCAGAGACAGGCTCTGTGTATATCTGAGACCTGTGATATATTGATGAAGAACAGTATACTAGGGGACCTTTAACTTTAGAAGTGATTAATTTAGCATTAGGTCTTAGAATCAGAATCAAAACCTTTATTCGAGGGGAAGTTAGCATTTGTTTCAGCAATTTGTGGAGGCTATTTTTATATAACATCAGAAAGACTGATTCTTATTATTACATTATAAAGTTATTGTGCTCATTTCATGTTGCTGTGACTTTGGAATAAATAGACGTTTTCAGCCTGCAATACAGAGTATCAAGGTCAGGTGCAGACACTGGAAGAACACAAAGGGTTATTCAGAAACAGGACATCACTCAACCTTGAGCTTTGGGTGAGCTCCGCTCCCACACACAGCTAGGAAGCAGCCTTATGAAGATTCCACTTTTTCTGAAGAAACGTTAGCGAAAACAAATTACGTATGATGGTGCCAGAGTAGGGAGGGACTTCCACAGGCCGGCCGAATGCTGATTGGAGGATCGTGTTGCTAAGAGACCCTGTCTGAGTCTGCGCACCTACCAAAGAGAACCAAGTCTAAACCGCGGTATCTCTTCAGCTAGTCTTGACCAATCATAAATGTATGGGCAACGCCTTGTGAGATAAAATGTATTGACGCACGAGGTTCGTGGCTCTTTCTGGAAATAGTGGTGACAGATTACAGCTTTGCAGTCTGTGATTTCTGTGACCTGACGGAGTCCATCGCCAAGTGAATATATATCTTTTGCTTTCTTATAATAAATAGTTAAACTTAGAAGTTGTCTGTCTTTCCTGGAGTTTTGAACACAACAAAGAGAACAGGCAAAGACCGCTTCATGTCAACTAAGAAGCATGCATTACACAATATTAAAGATAAAAAAACGATTAAACAATTAACAAAATACACATCCTGTAACACAGGGGTGCCCAATACGTCGATCGCAAGGGTAGTGTGTTTTTTCTTTTCAAAGTTAGCCTATCATCCATCCCTACTATGGCATTTGCCACTTGATTGACGTACAGGTAAGACAGTCTGAGTTGTGTTGTGCCACACGGGTTCATGCAGTTATGAGGGAGCCTCACCTCCTCATCTGAAGCGCGCCACAGTTTATCCACCGTTTAGTCCACTAGCACCCCCCCCCCCCCCCCCCCCCCCGGCTCACGACACAGATTATATATATATATATTGCTTAGTAGAGAAATAAAAACAATGAGAGAATAAATTAAGATTATAAAAGCACTGCATT